GCTTCAAAAACCTGGTCCAGCGCTGCAGGCCACTAGTATGCAAATTTAGTTACTTAACCGGTAACTGACTCTTGTTATTGGATGCTCAGATGTGCGAAAGTTTCTCGACCTTAGTATCCAAAGTGTGATGGTGCACAGTCATCGTCAGTACCACATAGATTTCTGCGCAAAGCATATAAAGATTCCAGGAGTAACCTTATACTTCACCCTGTACCACGGCGGCCCACGCGACTCTATCAGACACGACGTGCCTATTGCCCTCTCGGAGCAAGGAAATCTTGCACCACTCGCATGGGAACCAGTCAATGACCGGATGGCTTACGCGCGACTGAAGGGTTACTTAACTAACACATCTGTTGCCTCTGTCTGCGCAACAACGTCAGCCGCCAGACAGCGCAATAAGGAGCTCTTCTACTCGCAGTTGCAGTATTTCGCTGAAAGACTATTTCGCCTTGATCGGTTCGTTGTTAGCGGGGACTGTAATGGCGGGACTGAACCGAACGAGTGTTCAAACAGTCACGTTCTTGGCCATTTTGGGGTTTTTTTTCCTCGATGCAACAACGATGACAGAATCCTGAATTTTACTGACCACGAACGACTGCTTGTCTCCAACCCGTGCTTTCAGCATCGCCGAAACCAGCAGTGACAGCGAAAACAAATAAGTTTGCTAGCCACCGCTACTCAATGATTTTCTTCTTTAACTGAAGATCTAACAGAGAGAACCTCGAACAAGCAATCCGAGCGACTGTTTGGGACCATCCTGTACTCGAAAATCTGCGAGGAACCTCGTAATCGAGGCCCGCTAGATCAGGCATGATCATAACTACCACATACAAGGATCCTCTGTAATTTATAGATTTCATCTGGCCGGATAGAGACAGACATTGTCTAGTATACTTTTTCAGCCTCCACGCATTAATATAAGACCGACAGTGGTGGACAGTTGAAATTAAACGTGTGCGCCGATGTTTATGGTTGGAGATACTGCCTCTGGTCTCAAGGAAGCGGAACAGGACTCAGTATGCTGTGGTTTATTGCCGCGGCCGTATTTGGGGATAAAATGAGTTTTCGTGGTAGTATGTCTCTAATCGCTGAATAGCACAGCACTACGTTGACAATGACATGCAGAAAACAGTTGGCAATTAGCGAAAAAGCTGTTCGCCTACAGCAGGCTATTCGTGTTGTAGACGAATGGTAAACTACCTATCTCAAATTCAAAGGCTTGTCTGTTTAAAGTACTTTTAGATCGCTATTTAAACCCCTACACAAACGAGAGGGTTATAGTCCATGTAGGTACAACCCGTGAAGTTCTCGTTAGGCGTTGAAGACGTCGGAAGGTCAGCATCACTAAAGTTCCCGTCTGCGAGACTGTAAACCACTGAACCTCGACCATGAGGACGGAGGAGCAGTCAAAACTAGATGTGTTTAACAACTTTTGCCTTAAATTATACTATTCATCGTACCACAATAGGCAAAATTAAGATATCCTAGAGAAGTTGCGTCTTTTAATCCCGTGTGGCGTTGCATTTCCTCAAATTTTTGATGACCATAGGATTATAAACCATTTTGTCTTTTTGTTAGTACGAAGGGATCCTTTTCGCCCTGACCTTGCAAAATGTTGCCGTCTGTGCAATATTTAGCTCCGTTGGGCAACTACAAACCTAGCTTTTTAATGGTCCTCCTACCTTCATCTCCGTGGTATGCCACACTATCTTTGAAGGCGATAGATGCTTAGTTAATAATAATAGTAGGCCTGCGCTTGTGCTTGCCATTTTCATATTGAATACGGCTGACGGAGACGATGGACATTTCGAAGGTCTGCGGTGGAATTACAATAAACCACCGACCTCAAGATAACTCCCCAGATCTATGATGTTCCCAGGCTACGCTAGATGCTTATTTGAATAGTGCAGCCAGCAGCCTGACATGTTTTATGCCCATACGCCTTCATTTGTGTTTATTTAGCTCGTAACTCTGGCAACGAAACTCTTTTGTTGTCTACTGACTTTTGCTTTGTTTCGGTTGTGCCTTCTCCCGGAAGCCCCACCCTTCCCGTCTGCTGTCTGCGTGTACGCACTTGCCTGTGGTGACTCATCGATGTCTCTTGCTTTTTCTTATTCTTTTTAAGCCAGTAACTGATGGCTCAAAATAACCAGAACTTACTGAAGCTGACAATTGTTGGAACAGGTGGTGTAGGCAAGAGCGCACTCACCCTACACTTTATGTACGATGAGGTACGTGTTCTCTTTTACCTTTTTACCGTAATCTTTAACGTTCAGTTCGTAGAAGACTACGAGCCGACTAAGGCCGATTCCTATCGCAAGCGAATAACCTTTGGCAACGAGGAAGTTGACCTTCACATCCTCGACACAGCTGGTATGGTGCTGCCCTCTTTTTTATGTTAGCATGTCGACATTCAAACCTCCCAAAACCGAATACTGTAATAGGACATGGGCTTGAAATAATTGTCCTATCAGAAACCTGCTGTATCGAAACCTAATTTTGGCTGTATGCACTAGTTTATCAGAATTTTACAACGCTTAACCCCTGCCTAAAACAGAGTGAGCCCTGGCTTTTGTTTCCACAACTTTGCACTTTCTACCGTTACCGTCCCCCGTCGCCCATAAAAACAGAGCCGCTGTCTCAGGCCAGAATTCCAAAAGACTTTTGTGCAAACGTCGTTGCCAAATTTCAGGGTGTTGGCACTAACTTATAGTGCAGAACGCACGGCAGTGTTTCGTCAGAATTAAACGGGCACGCTGACTACGGGAGATTTATACCACTTCACTCACTAGGCCAGTCTTATTCCCTCTGGGCACACGGTAGGAGATATGAATGACGTGGCCCGTTCATGGTCATGTTTTTCTGTCCTAACTTTTGCGCAATTCAAATCTACCACG